ACTTTCATTAAGGCGGTTTTTACAACTTTCAGTGGAGTTTTTTATTTCCTGTATATCTCTGTGCATCTGCATTATGTATTCTGTTTGTTTCTTATATTGCTCGTCTAGGGATTCTATCTTTTTGTTTAGTTCCTCCAATTTTTTATCTGTGTTTTCTTTAGATATATTTAGAATCTCTTTCATTTCTTTTATCATTTCTTCTTTTATCTGGGAGATTATTTCGAGTTTGAATTTCTTTAAAGCTTCCTGGAGTTGCTTGTCAATTTCAGTGGCTATTGTGTCCGATATATGAGGTGGATGGGATATATTTTCTTCTATATACATCGCTCCTAGGGTTTCTTGAGATGGGCTGGAGGTTTGAGGTTGTAATTTGGTCTTTCGTTTTGTCATTTTCCTATATTTCTGTGTTTCAAGTGTTATTTGAAAGCTTCCTCAGGATCTGTTGAAAATCCCCTTCTATGTTTGGAGCTACTGGGACTCTGGCGCCACGCTACTCCAAGCTATTAGGCCTACAGAACCAGTGTCCCTCCTCTGCCTGCTCAGAACTCCGCAGTTCCAGACAAGCTGGGCCTCAGGGACACTGTGCGCCCACCTGCCCCTTGGAAGCTCCACAGTTCTTCAATCGCAGCCGGGTTAGGGTACTCACCACAGGCCGCAGTGCTTCAGGAACCTGTGGACCCTCCCTGGTTGCAGAGATATCCACAGTCCTCCAGACACACAGAGAGGCCAGTGAGGGCACCCCAGATCTGCCCAGCTCCTCCTCTGCAGACCTATGGCCAGGCGCGGCAGCTAAACAGGCTGGGCTAGGCTGGTAGTGTGGGCCAGCCCACCTATCGGGAGCTCAGCAGGTCTCCAAATGAAGCCGGGAATGGGGAGGCTGATGTGGAAGCCTCAAACCCACCTCTCTCCTTCACTGCACCTGGAAGCCTGAGGGAACTCCAGCAGTCTGGGCGCAGAAATCAGAGTTCTCCAGACACGCAGAGAGGCCAGTGAGGGCACCCCAGATCTGCCCAGCTCCTCCTCTGCAGACCTATGGCCAGGCACGGCAGCTAAACAGGCTGGGCTAGGCTGGTAGTGTGGGCCAGCCCACCTATCGGGAGCTCAGCAGGTCTCCAAATGAAGCCGGGAATGGGGAGGCTGATGTGGAAGCCTCAAACCCACCTCTCTCCTTCACTGCACCTGGAAGCCTGAGGGAACTCCAGCAGTCTGGGCGCAGAAATCCAGAGTCCTCCAGACACACAGAGAGGCCAGTGAGGGCACCCCAGATCTGCCCAGCTCCTCCTCTGCAGACCTATGGCCAGGCGCGGCAGCTAAACAGGCTGGGCTAGGCTGGTAGTGTGGGCCAGCCCACCTATCGGAAGCTCAGCAGGTCTCCAAATGAAGCCGGGAATGGGGAGGCTGATGTGGAAGCCTCAAACCCACCTCTCTCTTTCACTGCACCTGGAAGCCTGAGGGAACTCCAGCAGTCTGGGCGCAGAAATCCAGAGTCCTCCAGACACGCAGAGAGGCCAGTGAGGGCACCCCAGATCTGCCCAGCTCCTCCTCTGCAGACCTGCCAGGCGCGGCAGCTAAACAGCCTGGGCTAGGCTGGTAGTGTGGGCCAGCCCACCTATCGGGAGCTCAGCAGGTCTCCAAATGAAGCCGGGAATGGGGAGGCTGATGTGGAAGCCTCAAACCCACCTCTCTCCTTCACTGCACCTGGAAGCCTGAGGGAACTCCAGCAGTCTGGGCGCAGAAATCCAGAGTCCTCCAGACACGCAGAGAGGCCAGTGAGGGCACCCCAGATCTGCCCAGCTCCTCCTCTCGTTAGTAGCTGTTTTATGAGTCTGCTGTGTTGCAGTATTTGGGTCATCTAAAAGTTCATTTTTATTGAGTTATATCTTCATTATGACATGTTTTCCTATTCAAATGGCTAGTGATTTTTAATTTTACACTGGACATCTGGGGTAGAGAGTTATTCAGTTCTGTGACAGTCTTCTGAGGTATAATTTTTAGTAGGAAAATAACTTGCTTAAGCTCTTTGGATTGTCAATTTGCAGGGAGAAAGCAAAGTTTTTCCTTAGTTTCCAAAGGGATTTTTTTCCTGGTTATTTTTACGAGGGTCCCTCACATGGACTGTTTAACAGTCAGCCAAGGATTTGGACGGGGTTTATATACAGTTTGTGAGGTTCATCCCTTCCAAGTTTCTTTCCCTTTTAGAATTTCCTTCATAACTTTCCAGCTTCTCTGCCAGCATTGAACTATCTCTTTTGATACCTAGACCATATAGATTGAGGAATATCTTAAGGCCTTCATTTTGGCTACTGTATTTTTCAGCTCAAAAATTTTCATTGGGTCTTTTAAAAAATACACTATGATGAAATCCTCTGTCTTTTCCTGTTTTCTTGGTCATATTAAACCATTATTATTTAAAACATCTATTTATAACTTCAAAACCTAGATTACTTGTAGATTTGTTTCTGTTATATCTTTTCCTCTTATATCTGGTAATTTTTGTTGAATGCCAACTTTTCTTGTGTGTAAAATTGTAGAAGTTCTCAAGAAAGAGCTAACATAGCTTCTAGAAACAGGTGGAATATAAATCATCACTTTGGTTCAGGTAAAGCTAGATGTATTTCTGAGGGCTGTGCTAGTTTGATTTGTCTATATCTGTAGTTCTGATCTTAAGGTACAGCTTTTCAAAAATCCCAGTTGAAAGCCTGGAGTATTACTAGGGCTTCTACAGTTTGGCATATTCTGAACTCCAACGTTGGTCTCCTTGCAAACCAAAACTATCAGAGAATCTCTGCTGAACTTGCTGGCCTCTCAGAAGCTGTTTCAAATTGAGTATGTTAGCATCTCATCTAGAATATAGGTAGCTTCACAGTTTGTAATTACATAAAGATTTCTAGAATTTTTTGTATGTGATTCCCTGTCATCTAGAATATTAGCCCCTTGAGTCCTTGACACTTGGAAAGCCCCAAGCTTCAACTGTTTCCAAGCCAAATGAGATTGTGGAAAATCCAGGCCTCTGATCAAAATGGGAGGGGGAACTGAGGTGAATGAGGGGCTCATCTTGACTTAATCGTTTTCTTGTCCCTGGGAGAAAATACCTGATACCACAATTTAAGGAGAGGTTTATTTTGGTTCATGTTTTCAGTCCATGGTCCATGGCAGAGGGCCATGGCAGAGAGAAGTTGCTCATGTCATGGCTGTCAGAAAGCAGAGAATTAAATGAGGAGCCAAGGACAGGAATGTATTCTTGCAAGGCATGGGGGGTGGCATATGTTGTAATCCTGGCACTCTGGGAAGCTGAGGCAAAAGGATCGCAAGTTAATCTCAGCCTGGGCAACTTCCTGACTTAGACCCTGTCTCAAAAAGCAAAACAAAAAACAAAACACTAAAAAAAAAAAACCACGTATCATTCCAGGTCATAGCCCCAGTGGCCCACCTCTTTTGACCAGGCCTGGGCCCACTTCTAACAGCACATTTAGCTATGAGCTCATCGACAGATCAATCTGCTGATGAATCTAGCACACTCGTGACCCAATCACCTTCTAAAAGCCCCACTTCTGAACACACGAGACTTTGGAGAAACATCCTAGATTTAAACTATAGCAGGTCTCAATGCCCTGCTCCTGGGCATCATGACTCATTATGTATTTTCCTTTTCTTTTTTGTACTGGCAATAGAACTCAGAACCTCACTCTTGCCAGGCAGGCACTGTGCCGCTGAGCTATATCCCCTGAACTCATCATGTATTTTCTAACTTGGTTGACTTATGATGACTTAAACTAGTTCTTAATAACTTTCTAGCTTTAACAGTTATTTTTAGTGGTATGGTTAGACTAATATTGTATACTGCATTACAGCCAACATGAAAAGGTCTTTCTGCTAACTGGTTTTATAGGAACTTCTCACTGAGTTTTATTGAGAATACCTGGTGTGAATACAGTGGCCAAAAATTATTTTCAGTTATCTTTTTGTGGCATTTATGAAAGAAATGAATCAAAAGTAGTAACTTCCCAAAGGGTAGCCAAACATAAAATAAGCCTTCACAGCTGTCATAACTAGTATTGATTGGTTTGCACATCTGCAGTGCCAGCATGAAAGTTAATATGGTGACAAAACTAAGAATCAGTTCTACTACCATCTAGGCTATTCAGTTCCAAAAGTTCTCAAAAGAACAACAGGAGAATCTTTTATTATTCATTACCCTTAATAGAACCAAGGTAAATTTCTTTAACCTCGATATGGTAGTTCTTGTTATTCATACTTATCTGTACTTTTGATCTGTTTGAGGCAGTTAAAAAGATTTATATTGAAAGCTTTGAATTTATGAATTGGCAAACATTGTACATGAGAACCAATAAACTACTTACTTAGTCCTTGAAAAATACATGAGCAAACAAGTCTTCTATTTACTAATCAACTTTTAAGGTAAAAGCATAATTATATAAGGCAGGATTTAATAACCAACAGCTAACAACCTGGAATTCCAAATGGCTTTATCCTTTATCATTTGCTTAAATGATATTGCAGCTCTCTTAATGTTTTATAAAGAGAGAGAAGGGATGGAATTCTTTGCTCTTTTGAGTAATCAATACCCAAAAAGAGCACACATACATGGGAATGCATACCAATATACATAATAATCCTTTTCATACAATCTCTTAATAAGTAACCTAAATAAAAGGAAACTCTCAGTTAATGACAGTTCCTTCTAATGATAGTTCCTTCAGCATCAAAATTACTCAGAACTCATGCTAATACGTGACATTAATCTTGGTAATACACAATGTTAAATTATCTATTGGCCCTTTAATAAAGGAGAACTTTCCCAACTGAGAAGTACCCCTATGGCATGTACATTTTAATATTATTGATGGACCCCCCTGCCAACACCAGAAAGAGAGAGTGAGAGAGAAGGTGCATGCACAAGTGCAAGCGAGGGCATGCAAAGAAAAATAAAAGAATGTTCAAAAAGAGTATGTTTCTGTTTGTTTTTTGGGGAGACTCACCCCATGTGGTTAAGGTCTTAAGCTCTTCATTATCCATCTGAACAGTGCTGGCTTGTGTTGGCTTCTGAAGGTCTGTTTTGAAAGAGGCAGAGACATAGAGTGTCTCTACAGAAGACTGGTTATAGAAAGCAGACTCTGACTTTGATGTCCTTAAATTGGGGCTGATAAATTCTTCTTTACTCGATGACCAACATGCTGGTAAAGTTGTCAACATTTCAACACTTTTTATGGTTTCTTGCTTTCCCTGAGGTGTCTGCAAGGGGTTTTCTACTACTGTGTTTAAAATAGTATTCTCTGATTCCTTGTCCAAACTCACATTTGTCTGCAGAGAGGGACTTTTTTCTGTGGAGGTAGGCATAGCATCTGTAAAGTAACAAATAAGAGCTACAATAAAAAATGAAAATACTGTTTCAAATCCATTGCAATTTTAATAAATAGGATTTTAATGCCATAACAGAATTCTTTCCTATTTAGTTCTTCTGCTTTCTTACTATGCTTCTGTATTCTATTTAAAGTACATTCAAGCTATAACTGATGCCTTAGTCATTTGGTGGATGCCTTCTTCCTTTCTCTTCACTAAATACAAGGCAAGAAAAGCTTCAAATAACTTGTATTTAAATATTTCTCCCTTTACCCACTTATCTGTCTCTGAAACCACCATATTTTTAGTACCTTCAAACTTTCATCTTAAATGAGATAAACTAGGGAAAATATGCCACATCATACTGGTCTATCCTTATAGGACCTGTAGCTACAAAAATTTCCTTCTCCTGTGAAATTTAAAAAAAGATTACCTTCCCCCAGTATCTATGAAAGGCACATTAAAGAAACTCAATACTTTAGCAGCAAATTTTAATAAATACTTTATCTACATGGAAAAAAAAAAACCAATGTTTCTGAGATAATTTGACAATGACTAAAACATAAATTCCATTAAGTTTGGGGTCTATTCATTCTAGTCAGTACCACCAAAGAACCTAGAATAGAGCCTGGAACATGACAGACACACAACTTTATTACAAATAGAAGACACTTAAGGAACTGTATGGAACTGAAATTTAATGTAGATCCAATTTAGGAGTGTTGAGTATCTAATAAACCCATGAATTATGGGCCTAGTCTGAATTTTAGATGCAAATTATTGTCAATACGCAGGGCTAGGGCTTGCTCTAAGAGTTTCATCTGAACCTAGATATAGAGAAAGAAAACTTTGAGTGTCTTTTTGGGGTTAAGAAAACTATTTTAAAAATATTGAGTCAGTGAAATTAAAAGCGTAACTAGGTGAAAGAGGATAGAAAGATGACGATATAATTTGAAACTCCCAAAAGGGAAGAGGATGCAGAGATCATGCAATTCACTGTCATAATATATATTACACCCATAATGCATATTTACATGCTCTCATCACTTTTAGGCTCTGGGTTATTAAAGCAAAAACAAATTTTCTTTGACACTAAAATTCTTTCCATTTTCATACACAGATAGAGGCTAGAAAAAAGCTGCTGGTATATACTGAGAATTAAACAATTTAAGAAATTCATGTTGGTATCTCCACTAGAAATTCCATTATTTTTTCAATGTCCCTGATAAAACTCAGTTCGTATCACTTTTGCTCTAAATCTTGGTTGGCCTTTTCTCTCCTTGCTCTAATGTATTATCATCCATCACACCATGTTCTGCCGAGCCCTGTGAGTAATGAAAATGCTTCATTCCTGAACAGTCTTTCCCCTGACAGTCCCTCGAGGACATCTTGTATAAGTTGTCTTTGGATCCCAATACCTAGCAGTGCCAGTCCTACCTGAGTTACTCAATGCTTGTTGGGTGAAAGTATAACTGAGGCATAAGAATTCAAAAAAATTCATGCATGTGTTTTTCTAAATTGAATATAGCTTAATGACTTAATAATGATTAAAAGAAACTGAAAAATGGTAAATGAAAATAACTTCTTCTAAAATATTCCTAATTTACATATGGCCCAGTTATATTTAGTCAGTAAAGGTTCATAAATGCTAATGCCGTCCTAGCAGAAAACTAGATTTATGGTATTCCAGGGTATATGTGTCTAACACCATATTTACATAAAAGCATTCATTACCTAAGAGCAAAATTTCATTTAATATGTTTTCCACTGGCTTTCATTTTTTATGTAAGAAAAACAAAAAAATGTTCTGTAATAAAATCATGTAAAATTTGGCAATATATAACTACGACAATGTAGAATGACTGACTTCCTGGTGCAAATATTCATAAGAATACTCAATATTTGGCACAAATATACAAAATTTAAAATTAAATACTAACCTTAAGATTCAATGAAACCATCCAAATCAAAGTCATCCTATCACCCTCTCTTCCAATGGCTCAAAAAGACTAGCCTGCAATCTTTTGATTGCTTAACGTTTTTGTTAAAACTTATAAATTTTATTGTTTTTTTAAGTTTTGAGAAAAGGTTTTGGTTGCTATGTTGCCCAGTCTGAACTCAAACTCCTAGGTTTAAGTAACCCTCTCACATCAGCCTCCAGGATGGCTGGGACTATAGGCGGGCACCTCTGTGCTCGGCAAAACTCGGAACTTTTAAAATAAATACTATGATCTAAAACAAGTCTGATAAATTAAATATACATGCACAGTATTTTATTTTAAAAAGAAAAATGTTTACTTCAACAGAAAGCTGAAAGAGTCTTAAGATTCTAGAAAGCAAAGTGGGCTAGGCTTCTTGGCCATCAATCTTGTTACTTTCCTGCTCATTCTATGCAACATACCAACTTAATCCTCTTAAATCACTGCTTTAGCTATCTTTAGTTTATATTCAAAAGTCCTTTAAAAACTCTCTCTGTATCAGTGATAAAGTCCAGTTCCTTGGGACAAGCACGCTCCTCCTCACTCTCACCCTTCGTGTGCATCAGCTCCCTGCGCACTCGCTCACTAATGCAGATCTGATCTCTGAAAGGTTCTTGCCCTAGAATAAATTACTGTACAGTTATGGCAGTGGTCTAACATGGTGGAAGGCAAAGCGGACATGCCTACACTTTCTACTTCTTCCTCAGCCTTAACTGCAACTCCCCTTCCTGTCTGCCTGCAAAGAAAATTCCAATCAGCTCCTCGTGCCTCATCAATGCTTGCCCTAAGCGCCACTCTGGTCAGAGGTTATATATCTATCCCATACCCCATTTTCTGGCCAGAGAAAGCCAGGCTGCAAGTGGTCGTGTACTTCTCTCCACGTCTTTAGAATAAAGGCTATTTTTACTTCATATTCTCTCCTTTATTGGGCTGAAAACTCTTTCAGTCTCCATCACATTGATTTTTCCCCCTGCATGTGGACACCAGAACACTATCCCTTTTCCCCACCTATCTAAACCCCATTGGTATCACCAGGCCCATCTCAAGCACTACATCTAGGAGCTGTTTCAGCAGCCCACACTCCATTCTCATTTTGTCCTTCTTTGAAATAACAGTACCTACTGCAAGACAGATCCATTTATCCTCTCCCCTAAACCCACAGAAATGTCAAAAGAAGGAATTAAAAGGCATAAACCTACAAGGGGAAATAAAATAGAAGAGCACAGAAGACAGTAAAAGATAAGATAGGCTAACAAGATATTAGAAAAGGAAATACTGAGGAAGTAGAAGCAGCAAAATCCCTAAACACCCAGAGAAGGGGAAGCCAATGTGAAAGAAGCCAATCCTTAAGTGTCAGGGATTAGAGGAGCAGTTCATTGGCAGTCACTCTGTCGTTTTATTTGGGGAGATCTTCCCTTGCATGAAAGATAGTTGTATCTTGCAGTCAGGAAGCCTAGTAGTCAACATGTGAGGAAGAATGTGCGTGAATAGTGAGCAGCCAATGCACGAGTTGCGCGGCTCCTCAGCCACTGTCTTTTAGCTTCATATCCACACCCTTCTATGCCATGTTCTGTGACACTGGGACTGGGACACCACAAACTACATTTGTACTTTGTCCCCTCATTTTGTCAGATTGTGCCAACAAAGGGTGCTGAACAGAGAACGGAAGGAAGGAGCCGGGTCTTTGTCTACCTTCAAGGCTAACAGCTTTGCCCTCTGACTGACGCTCCTTCCCTCCTCCACCAGTAGTGTTCTATTCATTTTGCATTTTTCTAACATTTTTAGAAGCAGCTTTACACACCTCCTTAGTAACATCAATTCCAGCCTTCTCTAAACATCTAAATTTTAACAATTCTGACCTCTTCTTTTTGGCTCTCTAGGCTCGAGAGCTGGTAGTTTATTCCTGCAGCTGCTTCCTCCATAGTATGTTGGTGTTCTCTGTTTGCTTTTTGAGTTTTCAATACCTAATTAACAGTCTGTATATTAAATTCTATTTCATGTCAATTTCAGAGTAATTTTTATTGGGACAATTTTCCTGTAGCTACCAATGAGAATCTCTAGACAATATATAAGTATCAACCAGTACCTCCAAGGTTAGGAGAGTGATCAAAAGTAGGCAGAAACCAGAGGGCTCAAGACTGGAAAGAAAGAAGAGTACCAAGTGAGTTGCCTGCTTTTTCCAGCTAATCACAGGGTTCCAGTCAGCTCTATGCTGGGAGGCTAATACTGGCTACACCTAGTCCTACTGAATTGGAGAATGAGAGGACAGCGTTTGGAGACACCACAGCCCTGGAGAGAGGGGCCGATCCCGGTAAGGAACTGCAGAGAAGACCACTTATTACCATCATGGCCACACTGCGATAACAGTGAGACAACAAAGAGAACAAAGAGAATCTCAGAAGTAACCAGAGAAGGGATCCACAGTACACTTAGATGGGCATGGTGGCACAAGCCTGAAATCTTAGTCCTCTAGGAGGATTATAAATTCAGACCCAGCCCGGGCAACTTAATGACTTAGATCTTGTCTCAAAAATAAAAAATAAAATCCTGGAATGTAGCTCAGTGCAAAGGCTCCATTACCAGGGGTAGGGGTGGGGTGACACTTTACATACAAGGGAGTGTGGTGAAAGATGGCTGACTTCTCATCAGAAATAACAGAGGCTAGAAAACAGTAGAAAAGCATCTTTTAAAGAAATACAATAGTGAAACCAAAAGAAAACTGTCAACATAAAATTCTATAACTAGTAAAAATATCCTTCAAAATTGAAGGCAAAATAAAAACATTATAAAATAAACAAAAACTAAGAGAATGAACTGCCAGCCTTTATAACAAGAACTGTTCTTGAAAGTTAAAGAGAAATTATACCAGATGGAAAGTCAAATCTTTGAAACAGAGTGAAGAATGCCAGAAATGGGAAAATATGTAGGTAAATGTAAAAGACTGCTTTCTCTTCATTTCTTTAAAACATATGTGATTGTTTAAAAATAATAAAACTCTATGTGGAAAGTCAACAAAAAATAAATATAATTCATATGCCAACTAT